AGTTTACAAGACTGACCAAGAATTGGGACATGTCACATCTGCTTACCACCCATTGACCAGAACTTAATCTCATTTCTACATTTATCAAGATAAAGGGGACATTTTCTCAATTATCTAAGTGATTTGACTAAAAGCTTTAATTCTCAAATTATATAATAACTACCTCATTTCTGCATTTCATTTTATCTGTGTTTATTTGACCTCAATTGCATGAAATTTTATTCCTACCAGAAGCATCCAACCTATTGGTATCCCCTTCACCTGGCCAAGTCATTTCATTGACAGGAATAAGGAGAGAGACTCAAATTGGTAATTTAGAATACTGTTTAACTTTCATATTACTTTTTTTTAGGGATATTTTAAAAGTATTTGAATTATCCTCAAAAACCTCTTCAATAAATATTTTGATTCTAATCATACAATGTGAGAGGCTAAAAGTAAGCTTATCAGAAGAAAACAACACATACCTATTTTTCAAAGAGAAAGGATTGCCAAATTGCGTATTACAGTTAGCAAACATCAGGAGCCTGAACTTTCTCAGTAGCTATTGGAATGCAAATTAGACCTGTATAGATGTGAACAACCACTCACACATTTACTGTGTAAACTAACCAATAAAATTTTTCTGGGGTTTTATATGAGGCCGGAGATACTTTCTACTACAATCTGGTACTTATTCCACAATTCCAGTTTTCTCCTAAGAACTGTGAAAACTAATGACTAAATGTGGATAAAAACAATTGAGGCTTCCCCTCCCCTCTGAAAGATATAGATTAAGCCATCTACCAATGATAAAGAAAAAATGAAAGACAAGAATTTATGTCTGGATTATCTAGATTTATTACCTACTTTGAAAAGTGTCCTATTTCACTCTTTACTAAGGTTAGAGAAAGATATTCCTTTAAAAATATGGGGGGAAAGGTGCAACTCAAATTTATATTCTCTTTTAGTTATTGTATTATTAAAAGGAATGCAAAATGAACTGTATCAATGTTTTCAACACTAAATTACTTATCTTTGAGATTTTGATTGAAATTACATTTAGATTGACCCAAACTATTATATGTAGGTTTTATATTGAATATGCAAAAACTACTATTTTTATGTGCCGGTTTATTCTACTTTCTCTGTAATTATTTTAGTTTCGAAGATATGTCATCATATTCACTCCATATTTAAGGAAGGGTAGAGGAAAATTTCTTAAATGAGTGTCAGAACAGTACATTACATATTCACATGTAGAAAATATTTTAGAAATTGCCTTCATTGAAACAAACTATAAAAATCTTAAAGCTTTATAGTGACAGACTTAGTAGGCCACACAGCCAGTGTAAAATTGGATTCAGTGTGATTATTTCTTGGCAATAATTCAGAGCAAATAACATCAAGGAAGGCTTGCGTAAATCCAGATGGAAAAAGTGGATTTAAATCAAACTAATAGGTTGCAAAACATGAAATATGCTTTGTACTGTGCCTTGGAGACACATGGCCAAATCCATATTCAAAAAGTAAAAACAAACCAGAGTGATTTGAGGAATAAATTACTTGTCATCGTGATCTTTTAAAAATGCCAGAATTTAATGCAAAAATATAATCCTAACATTTATTGCGGCAAAAATAAATGTCAACATATTAGACTTAACTGGCAAAGCCTTGTGGTAGCACTTCTACAGAGTGAAAAGAACATGACAAGCTGTATTTCACATTTATTAGAATGAGATTTGGTCTTCTTTATCATAAGCAGTAGATTTAAACACTTTATTTTAATTTACTTCATGGTATTGAGGAAAACATTGACTCAGATGAGGAAAAAAAATGCTGTATAAACTTGTTCACTGAAGTAATCCATCAGTCTTAGAAGCTAAATATGTATTATGACAACACCAAGTCTTTGTAGTTAGAAGAATCAAGCACAGAATGGCTGTGACATATTCCATGTTCCAGGCAGCATATGTGAGTGGGAAACTGTGTGGATGCCTAGTCATACATAATAAACACAGATTTTTTTTTTTTTTTTTGTATCTTGATACTATTTGCAGACCTGACAAGGAATAGTACCCAGGCCTAAGTATTCCCTAAACTTATGCTGCCCAAATTGGTTCCTTTTTAAAAATATTCTTAAACTATATAATTTAAATTTGTATTAAAAATATATTTGATATTTGAGTACCATTTTAGAACTAAACATAGGTTTCTGAGCTTTTAAGTATCTAATATTTTTAACCTTTTTAAAATAAATTGCCCCCTATATTCTTAATAGATAGAATCATCATAAAATTCACTTACTCTGAACAAATGACAAACTTACCTTCTCCAGACTTGATAATGTCAAGCATAATAGTGCTTATCATATGAAAAGCAAAATGTATATAGTGTGCTATATAAAACCAATAAGTACACAAACACAATAAATATGTATGTATGTAAATCCAAATGTTTGCATACACATTGAGTGTGCATAGATAAACACATAAATACCTTTGCCAGGAGTGCAAAAACCAAGATTTTATTTGCATGATGGAATACAATTACATATGCAAATTTTGAAATGTCTAGTATGAAAATTAGTAATTTTAACACACTGCATTCTGCAAAGATATTTACATTTAAATATGAATCCGCTTAGCAGTTAGGTTGTAAACAAAATTCCACATGCCTGAGCATAAATATGTTTTTATATAAATATCCTAAATGCTGAAAAACTGTATAATTACCTGGACCCAGCCTTGCTGCCACCAAAGACTAAGTTATTATATAATGAATTGTGAAATATATTTTTCCTCAAACACTTACAGTGGAATGTATTTTAAAAGTGCTACTTGGAAATCAAGACTTTAAAAATGGACATTTTACATACATTTTTAAACATTTAATGAAAATTTTAATAGGTGAAATTCTCAAGTAGTTACTTGGGAAACTAAGATGATACTTTCATATTGTTTTAGATAAGAGTTAGAGGTTTAATCCAAACTAGGAATATAATATGCCAAAATTTACAATTTTCCTTAATTACATATAATCCATATATTCCTCTGACAAATTAAAGTTTTTTATGGAAACTGGTCTTTTAATAATGCAATCCTGTCCACTGGTTACCGTTTCTTTTTCTCATCTTTTGGCTGTAATCTACTATATTCATTATCTTAATGAGTGATATATTTTATTGATGACGAGTTTGCCAACTCTGTCCACCTAGTAATCAGTTCGTTATATAAAAAAAATCAATAGGATTAGACATATTATACATGGTTTATGAATATTAAATGGATACACATAATTTCTATGCCAACTACTGAACTAAGTGCCACAGATTCAAAACACCTAACCCTCAAGAAGCTCCTAGACTAATGAGGAAGATAGACAAATTTCAGTGTGTATGGTAAGAATACAGAAGTGGAAGAGGTAGCTCATTCTGCTTAGGTTGGAGATTTGTGAGGACAAAGGTAATTATAGATTTTTATGTGAGGGAGGCTTTAAAAAAGATATAAGAAAATATTCACATCCCAAATTTCGAAAGATATGTGGAGGTGTTCTAAGTGGGTAAACAAGTGACATGTAGTTAGAACATGGCATGCTCTATTTGGAGAAATGCAAGTGGTGGCATTTACAGGTGCATCAATACAAACAATTCCTGAAAAACTAGATTAATAAAGCCAGAGGTAGGTTTCAAGATGACTGACTAGATGCAGCTAGAATGTGCCTCTTCCATAGAAAGGAACTAAAATGGTAAGTAGATAGTCACACTTCAAATTTATTGTCTAAGGAAGAACACTGGAATTCAAAAGAAAAGTGATGGGAAGCAGTGAAAGCAAAGAAAGAGAGGGAAACAAGGCAGTTTTCTTGGCTGGGATCAGCTGGGAGCCAGGAGAAACTTCCAGATGCAGGGGAAGAGTAAGTGAGAGACAGCCAGGGGTCCACATTCCTGCCACAGACTTTTACAGTCCTAGCTATGAGAGAGCCACTTAACTCTTGCAAGCCTTGAGACTAACACAGGGAGCTGCTCAGAGACAACACAAAAGCTTCGCAGAAAGGGGGCTCATGCTGAGTCCCACAGACTCTGAGCCCTCAGCAGCTGCAGCTTGGCACCATTCTGTGAGCCATGCCCCCAAAGGACTGAGTCCTGCCCTGGGGCCATTGCCACCCCTGGCATTACTGGGCCTAGAAGGAGAGGGAAAGCCAGGTACTTTCTTGTACTCCAAGGACAAATCCCACTGCCATTGCTGTGGGCTGTTGCGGGTTTGATGTGCAAGGAAACTACATGCCCCATAGCTACCTGCCTAGGCTGCTCTCGCCTAGAGCCAAACCGGTGCTCTTGCCTCCTGATATTAGATCAAAAGTCTCCCCTCTGTACATCCAAACAACACAATCAAATCCTGAGCGTATGGGATTTGGCCTACAGGTCTGTTTCCAGGTCTCTGAAGATCAATCCCTAACCATGCCAGGGAGAAGAAGCATGCTGGTCCCCAGTTGCCTATGAAGTTTTCAAACTGGGTTGAAATCCCTCCATTTCAGGGTGTGCCCTGCTCTCATAGAGCAGCTGGGCAGGCCGTACCGGGCAGGACTGGAGAGCAGGGAATTCACAGTCTGAGCGCCCCTTAGTCCTCTGCAGGTCTTTATGAGGAAAGGTTTGAGCGCCTCTCTCTGTGGAATCCCTGGTGTAGTGTGTGCTCCAACAGGCGGAAGCAGCAGCTGCTGAGAACTCTGTCTCAATTACTTGTCTCAGCAGCCAAAGGCTTGAGAGGAAAAGGAGAGAAAAAGAGTCTAGATGGAGGAAAGCTAGCACTCTGGTCATCTCTGTCCCTCTGTCCAGAAGGCAGCCTGCCTGGACTGTCCAGGATCTGGGGTCACAGAGATCGCCTGGGACCTACCAGCCCCCTGTGACTCCTGTAGTGTGGGCCAGCGTGGGAAATGCTTGTGTGGGAGCAAGACGACAACCGAGCGGGAAGCCCCCTGGGGAGGACAAGGGCCCATGGTGGGTGGAAAAGCAATATGGCGCCTACCATCGTGTTCTGCTCTGTGGTGACAGGAGGCATCCCATAGGGGCTGGCGGGCTGGTGCTTTGTCCTTGAGAAGTTCCCAGTTTATTGGCAGCAGCAGCTTTTGGGCTCATAAGGGCAGAAAGTCTGTCTAGCGCTTGGGAGCCTTCTGACTGCCAGAGATGTGAGGGAGGGAGAAAAAAAACTGTTCTGTCTACCCGTTTCGCTGGACTCCAAGCTTCTCTGGGGTTGACCTCTGCCCAAATCTTGCTCCTTCTTGTTCCGCTTTGCAGTTTCTTCTTGTGGAATCTCTTGTAGGTTCTGGGACATTTCCCTTGGAATTACACCCAATCTATGATTCTTTATTTGGTTTTTTCTTTTTCTTCTAAAAGTTTTCCCTCTTTCTGAGATGATCTGGCAGCTGGTGTCTCTGTTCAGCCATCATGTCTCTCCTGAAATTGTTTCTTTTTAATAAGAGAAAACTGCGGCCTGGCCGTTAATGCCAGGGCAGATAGCTGTCAGGAGCTTTTGTCCTTTCTTTATCAAAATTTTCCTTTTGGCAAGGGAGATGAAGTTAGGTTGCAGGACATTAATTTGTGATATCTACATCTTTACCGTTGCCAACAGTGAGATTGCTCAGGAAGGTGTCTTTATTTTGTGGTTTGTATTTGGATTCAATTTAATCCTTTTTTATCCTTTTTGCAAGCTATATTTTTTAGTTACCTGGTGTGTCAATGACTACAGAATAACAGTCAAGGATTCTGGACAGGATTCATGTATCAACTGTAGCACAGACAATTGCCAGGGAACAAGAAAAGGTGCTATATAACCAAACCTGGAAAATAAAAACATGTCAAAAATTCAGAAGGGGATTTCTAAGTATAGAATTGTAGAAACTATTAATAAATAAAAATTTACTTTAAAAATATTAAAAAGGTAACAGCATGAAATTCAGAAAAATAATGCATATAACTCAGTCACAATAATTACAGAGCATAAGAGCAATGGAAGAAAGCAATGATATCTTAGTATAGGTGATATACAATAGAGCTATAGAGATACATTAGACTTGGAAGAATGGTCTGATGTTATTTATGATGTTTACTGAGTTTTCCATTCTGTTTCCATCCTTCCTGTGTCTCCTTACTCTATAATTCTGTTATCTGGTATAGTTTGAATGAACTAAGCACTGGTATATTCCCAGTGCTTAGAAGATATTGCATAACAGTGCTCAATAAATACCGAAGTAAAGAATGAATAAGTGAATGTGTCTGTTTCTGAAAGCTGAAAGAGCCTAAACCACAGCCTAGTACCATGATCTATGCTTACACAAAACCTTTTCATGAACACTCCTTCAAGTCCATCTCCAAGAACAAAATCTTTGTCCAGATTATGAGAAATAAAATTGAACAATTGTAATCTCATTGTCATGTAACTGCCTTTTAATGTGTTCTCAAACTTACAGTTACAGTTTTTCAGTGATTCAAGTATGAATTCTAGTTTCAGAAACCAATCACCATTTTCAGGCATCAGCAGTTATAGTTTAAGGCTACACTCTTTACCCTAGACATGTCTATCTTATTTTGTGAAATTTTAAAGTTATTTATCCAAAGACTTGAGTTTTTCCTTCTATCCAGGTTCTCAGAGCACCTCCATTTACCATTAAGAGATCAGGTCACCATCTCTGAGATGGGTTAAGTGAAACTCTGAATAAACACACATGCACAGAGTCACAAACTATAAAATACAATTCTTCACTTTTCAGTCTTATGTTAATTGAAGTAAAATAGGCTTAGAACTACTGTGTAATACCCCACTAAAGGATTGTTTCCAGCAGTGTGATTGACTGTCCCTTGGTTCCATAATCACAAAATGTCAGAGATATAATGAGTGAAAGACATTATACGGTCTCACCCATTCATTAGCCAGCTGAAACAAACGACCAAAAAAAGACTTTAAAATTAAGTGACCTGAGTTATGTTCCAGGCATTTCTCTTGGCCTGATAACAATAATCCTGCCTGTCTTGTCTTTCTGAATTAATTCCTTCCCTCTCTCCTTGCTACAATGAAAATGTTGTGCCATCCACGTATCTTAAGTAGCTTGTCTAGGCTTTGCTTACTGTAGAGGTTTGATGCCACTGTCCAGTTTAGCACGACACAGCCCTCTGTGCAGGAGATCTCTCTCTAAGTGTTGTGGTAATGATTAAATGAGTCAATTAATGAACATCTCTTTGAAAATTATCTGACAATGAGTAAATATTCAGTAAATACTAGTCATCATTATCACTAATTCAGGATATGAGATACCTATACTCTCTCTGTAAACATTTACTATGCTATGACTCATCACTGAATCTCTGCACATAAAATATAGATCATTATTACTTATTATGAAACAACTCTCAATCTATTGGAGGTGCTAGATAATGAACAGGTACATTCTAATTGTCATGACATGTTTTATTTCATGGAAATACACAAATTATTTTTAAAATCCAGAAGAAATGTGAGCGGCAAGAGAATAGGCTGACTTCAAAACCCACTAGCTTTTTATTCCCAGAAATATAGAGTTGTTTTTATTGGGCCAAATATGCTGAAAAGGGTGTGTATGAATGCTGTAGAAAAGTTATATACATTTAGATCTCTTTGCTCTCCCAATTTTTAAGTACAATTGTCTTTAATTTTTCCACTGCATGCATTTAACATACCACATAGTGTTATAATTCCTGTTTCAACAGCCAAAAATATCTTTTAAGAATCATGAGAAGAAATATAGTCTATTATATTTAGCCCTATGTTTACCAATTCTAATATTCTTTCCTTTGTGAACTTTCTAGCATCTCTTTTAGTATCTGAAAAATGTACCATTTCCTCCTGCCCTCCATAGTTTTACATGAGACGTTCACTGTAATGGAAATTGGTGTTTCCCTGTAAGTAATGTGTCATGCCTCAGTGGCCACTTAAAAATTTTATTTTGTCTTTACTTTTAAGAAATTTAATTATATATGGAATTAATTTTGTTATGCTAAGCTTCTTAAATCTGTAGGTTTAGATCTTTTACAAAGCCGAGAAGTTTTCAGCCATTATTTCTTTTGTTACATTTTCAATTAAACTGTATTCACTCTTTCTGGGACTCAAATGATATGTTCTTTTCAAAAAATTAATTTATCCTGTTTTTTAGATTGGGTGAATTCTATTGCTCTATCTTCAAGTTCACTGATATTCTCCTCTGTGAATGCCACTCTCTATTACTGAGCCCTAGCAAGGATTTTTTTTTGTTTGTTTTTTAATTTATTTACTTAGACTTCCTGGTTGTTATTGTTTTGGTTTCGTTTCTTACCTGTTGCAAGTATGTCCACAATTGCTACTGAAGCATTTTTGTAATTGTTACTTTAAAATCTTTGCCAGGTACTTCCAATGTCTGAGTTATTTCAGTGTTAGGTTCTGTTAATTTATTTTCTCATTCAAATTATGATTGATCTGGTTCTTATTACAACAAGTGATTTACAATTGTATTCTGGACATTTTAGGTATTGTGTGAAATTACCCAAGAGGTTCTGTGACCTACTCCATCTTTTAAATAGATTAAATATAAGATTTAATTTGTCATGAGATTCAGGCCACAGTCTTTTTTAGCAGGCAGTTGCCCTGTTTATATTAATAATTGTAGTGCACAGGTCATGAGGACAGTAAATACTCAACTTTCTGTTGTTCCCTGTTGACATCACCCCAGATAAAGCAGAGCTCTGACTCATACTACCTCATTGCAGTCAGCTGGGATTGGAAGCTCAGTTTCCAGCTGAGATGGGAGGAAGGAGGAATGAAAGTGATAATAGTCCTTCTTCATATTGCCTCATTCAGTCTTGCAGCTGATAAGTGTGTATGGAGTTTCAGTCTTTCACTAAGTCCCACTGACACCTGCTGAAACAGGGGTCAGGGAAAAGTGGAATGCTGACAAATGTTCACACTGCCTATACCTAACTTATTCTAATTTTGGAAAGATACCTCTCCTCTCCCTTCTAGCCCTATATACTTACACTTCCTCTAAGAAAATATCTCTGGAGACTCTATTTTTTGTCATGTATGTTTATTAGTACAAGAGAATCAAGGGCAGTACTCTACATGGTGAGCCTGTTTTCTTTTCTCTGTCATAGAACTTGTCAAAAAATAGTTTGAAACCATACAAAAGAAAATTTTTACCGTTAGACTCAGTTTTGTTGAAAAGGCATTGTCTTACCTGGGAGTTATTTCATTTGACATCCAATCAATACTCATTATTGAATTAGTGTTTCATTTTAAGCCAGGTGACACTTTGAAAAAATAAAAGAAAGAATCTTAGGGAAATAAAACATGGATTGTGATGGAATAAAGAGAATTCTGGGCTTGATACTAGGGGAAATAAGATTATAGCTCACTCATGAAAGCAGTGAACATGACTTAAGATGGTAGTGATGGAAGGTGATCTCTGAGTAACACTCTAACAGAGTTTGTCCCGGGGTAGATGTAGATACCTTTGTTCTGACCAATGAGAAATACGGATGAGATAGAAGAATGTAAGTTTTAAGTAATGTTATTATGGAATTATCACAGGTTTTAAGCAACTCAAAGGAAAAACTTATTTTAAAATTACTTTTGGCGGTTAGCTAGTCTTCTTTTGATGTGGAAATGTTCTGAGATTTGACCATATGTCATAGTTTGGGGCTCCAGAAAACCCCCCAAACATGACCTTCAATAATAATGGGTATTTTGCAGGGAGGGCTCTGGATTGAATAACATCTTGAAGTCACTGAGATAATTTCACAAGTATGCTGAAATGAGAAGTATTGGTGAAAAAGATGATGCACAACTTATAATGGTAGATGATGTATACTTTAACTCATGATAATTAGCTAAAATTTCATGTAAGGCAGCCTAAATCCATGTCATTGTGGTACAAAGTCTATCAATAAATAATACTTTGACAGTTTTTGAACTTCAATAGTCCTAAAAATATTTCAATCAAAATAGTTCAAATTAAACACAATTGAAAATAAATTTGTAGCTCTAATATTATTCATATTCAACCAAACAGGGATTTTGCTTGCTTGTCTGTTTGTCCTTATGAAATATTAATTGAATTTTTTCTTTAAAAAATTATTGGACAATGTATTCCATCACAACAGGTAAAAATAATCTGTATATGGCAGAGAGCTATGAAATAATATCTTACTATTAATATTATATTTTAATTTGACCCAGGCAAAGTTAATTTATATAGCAAAGTATTAGGCCAACAAATCAATTGGACTTAGAAAAGCATTTCTTATTTTCCTGATTTTAAGATTAATATTTGAGAATAAAACTAATGGTGTTGTATTAATAATATATCTTTTGTCCCAGACAATAATTTCACCAATCTTGTCAGTACTTTTTTAATGCTTTACATTTATCTTTATGTTTAGATAATGAAGTCCCTTACTCTCATGAAATATGTGTAACCCTTTCAAATAATGCTACCCACATTTGATATAGTGTAAATATGAGTTTGTATACACAAAGATACATAAATGCAAATATACACAGGGTTTTGATCTTCATTCAAATTTAGTTTTATGCATATGTTTGTATGTGCATATGTAAGCGTGTATGTGTGAGACAGAGGGAGAAAGAGAGGGAAAATGAGATGACCCACATAGAGGTTCAATTTAATGTTTTCTTTTATGCCATCACTACCAGTCAAATCATCCCTAATATGTACATAACAGTTACTTATCTCCAAACTAGCAATTACATTACTGCATGCTGATGGTATAGTCACTCCCAATTCTATTTCTTCATCACACAGTATATTCATTCTTCCTTTTCCACCCCCCATAATGATGCTTTCTCATAAAATCCTAAGTATAAATGCCAAAAGCCTGTCTCATATATCTCTTTTCTATTCTTATTAATATCTGTCAAACATCAATTCTGATTCACTACCCTTATTTGTATCAGTTCTCATAGCCCTATTGTTGTGAATGCCAGTAACAAAACAAATTTGTATGAAAACTGGACACATATGTGTTTCCTGTCTACTTGGCTAGGCATTGCCACCTTTGGTTGCTGTCTGCTTTGTCACTGAAATATTTATTGTCTTGACACAGAACACATAACATCTTCATCAGGAAGGAAGCTGTTTTTGAATATGCTCTGAAGTCTGTAGGAAATGATTGGGAATCATTAAATTTTCTCTTACATTCCAGGGCTGTTATGACTTTATCAGCTTTGTCACATAAGCACTAATGCTTTCTCCTTCAAACTAACTGTGGTTTGTGAAATCTCATTCTGACTGTCATTAAAGTAAAGTCATCACTGTTTCACTGAAAATCCTCACTGCAGAGTTCCCAGGTGCTTTCAAATTTCTGACTAGAATGTATGCTCTTCCTGTGATTAGACCGTAGGGTAGGCTTAGCTTTACTTTGTCTAGGTTCAATCATTGAGCTATTTCCACTTAGATTTAGAAATCTGACACCAGAGAAGACTGGAAAATCCTATACCCACAAATAGATATGTTTCATCAGAACATTTTTAATAAATAAGTATAATAGGTTATTTTTATTATTTTAAATATTTGCATTGACCATATTAAACTAAAGAAAATATTAGATAGAATTTTCATCCAGAGAGACCAGTGAGTTCTTCAATATGGACCTCAAGAGAACAATTTCTGGAGTAAAATATTTCTAGGGTCCTGAACTCAACTTTTAGGCCCCAAAAATGCTTTTTTAGTTTTCATAGGTGTGATTGTTTTAAGGGTACATGACCATACAATATAATATAGTCTATACAGTAACTTAACAAAAACAACATATGTAAAATTCAGAGATTGAATTCTTTATATTACCGTGTTTCCCCGAAAATAAGACCTACACACAAAATAAGCCCTAGCAGGATTTCTAAGCATTTGTGAAATATAAGTCTCACCCAGAAAATAAGACCTAGTGAAGGGCATGTCTATGCAGCGTATCTGCACAACCCATGCATTTTGTCGCAGAGAGGTAAAGAAGATGAGCAGCCCTTCTCATCTGCCCCATCTTGACAGCTACTATCCCAGAGGTGACCGGAAAGGTGTGGGCAGCCCCACCAATAAGGTAGGCTCCCCTTGTCAGGTCCCAGCCATCCTGTGCGTGCTGTAAGCTGAGGCTTTGAGGGGAAAATAACACATCCCCTTAAAATAAGCCCTACAATGTCTTCTTGAGGATAAATAAATATAAGAACCTGTCTTATTTTTCGGGAAACATGGTAATAAAGCAATACAACTGGAAAACTAAACAAAATGTGCATGTTAGAGATGAATGTGTTATCTTCCAGTAAGAATATTTTAGTGGAGGAAAATTCTAATCAATACATTGTGTGTTAAGCATGGAATCATAGCAAGGAGAATCCCTTGAAAATATTAATGACCAATGTTATCAAGTCATTTGTAGTACATCTGTCTTCTCTGTAGGAATAGGTTCTACTTAGCAGATTGCATAACTGCATCAACTTATTATGAAATATCCGTCCTGGACATTGTTGTAGATACAATTACATATTCTAGCAGAATGCAACCCCTGTTTCTAAGGTGCTATGATAACTCCTCCTCTTTTGCCAGAAGTCTTTCTTGGGACACAGTCCTATGCAATAAACTTGTTTACTTTTATTATACAATTTTTGTATAAAGATAATTTTCTTAATCAGTTCAAAATCAGTTTAAATCTGTTTGATTAAATTACCTCACATATAGCCTTATGTGTAAGATGACCATAATATTTATCATGAAAACTGGAACACTGGAACACTGATACTTATTTTGCTGGGACTACCACTGTAACATTGGATGTTACCAAGCAAACTGGAGTAAAAGATTATCTTACGACAGAGAATTTTTATTTTTTTCAGTTGATTAATCCCATCTGTGAAACTTAGTTGCTCTCCCTTTATAATTCAAAATTCTGGGATTAGAGTTTTGTCATTCCTGACTTCTACTGTTCTTGTTTCCTCTATATGGTTACTGTAGGTTCATTATTAACTACTACCCATTCCCTCTTTTCCTCACACCTTTCTGATTTGAAAGATTGCTTCAGACATTGGGACTCTAATGAAAAATAATAGTTGTTAGGCTGAATTATATTCCCTAACTGCCTTGTTAAGATGTCACATTCTTTCACTTTCATCTGAAAACTTCTCTTAAGAAACCAAATGTCCATTGATTTGGTAACCCGAGACTTTACTGAACTTCTTTATCAATTCCAAGAGTCTGTTGGTGGAATCTTTGGGGTTTTCTAAATTTAAGATCATATCAGAAAAAATCAATAGTTTGACATCATCTTTCCCAATATGAATACCTTTAATTTCTTTCTCTTGCCTAATTGCTCTGGCTAGGACTTCCAGGACTATGCTTAATAGAAGTGGTGATAATGGTCATCCTTGTCTTGTTCCAGATCGTAGTAGGAATTGTTTCAACTTTTCCCCATTTAGTATGATGCTGGCTTTAGGTTTGTCATATGTGTCTTTTATAATTTTGAGATATGTTCTATTCCATGTTGCTTGAGGGTTTTATCACAAAAGGGTGATGAATTGTGTCGAATGCTTTTACTGTTTCTATTGAGATTATCATATGATCTTTGTATTTGCTTCTGTTTATGTGGTGAACTACATTAATTGGTGAACCATCCTTGCATTCCTGGGATGAAGACCACTTGGTCCTGGTGGATTATTTTTTTGATGTGCTGTTAAACTTGGTTTGCTATTATTTTACTGAGGATTTTTGCATCTATTTTCATAGGGTACTTTGGTCTGTAGTTTTCTCTTTGTTGTGTCCTTTTCTGGCATTGGTATCAAGGTGAAATTGGCCTCATAGAATGAGTTGGAAGGATTACCTCCTTCTTGCTCTTATGAGATAATTTTTGCAATATGGATACCAACTCTTTTTTGTAGGTGTGATAAAATTCAGGCGTGAATTTATCTGGTCTGAGGCTTTTTTTTTTTGCTTAGAAAATTTTTATTGCTGCTTCAAACTCATTACTCATCATTCGTATGTTCAGGAGTTCCATTTTTTTCTGACTGAGTCTTGGGAGGTTGTGTGTTTCCAGGAATTTGTCCATTTCCTCTAGGTTTTCAAGTTTATGTGCATAGAGACTTTCATAGTATTCAAAGATGATATATTTTATTTCTGTGATATCATTTGTAATATCTCTTTTCAATTTCTGATTGAGCTCCTTGGGGTGTCTTCTCTTCTGTTCCTGGTTAATCTAGCAAGAATTCTATAAATTTTGTTTATCTTTTCAAAAAACCATCTTTTTGTTTCATTGATCTTCT